GGAAAGCGACCCTCCACTGCGGGGCAGCTGCCCCTGAGCAGGACTCAGCCACTTGCAGACCCTCAAGGGATGTGGGGACACCCTCAGGTGCAGGAGGCACAGCCCCACCCTTGGAGAGATAGCAGGAGGTCTTGTTTTGTCCCCATTGACATGTGTCCTGATGTCCTCCACTGACATGGAGGAGGTGCTGCAGAGACTTGCAGGCATGCTTCATCTCTGCTCATCTCTCCTGGGTTTTGCCAGGGTTGATAAGGGGAAGGTGCATCACTTCTGCCTGGTGTGCTGTGCTCGCTCTCTGGGTCTCAAGGGGGGCTTTGAAGACAGAAGGGGGCTTTGAAGGATTTACAGAAGCATTGACATTGAAACATCAGCTCTGTTGGGTTTGAAAACACTTGTGAAAGCATCTACAGAGATCCCATGGGCTGCTGTATACCTCCTGGAGGAAACCAGGTAGAGCAGCGAGGCCATTTTCAGTGACGTTCCTTGCAAAGGCTGTGTTACATGCAGCTACATGCCACCTGTCTTCATATGCAGTTAGTCTGTCTTTTGATGTGCCAGAGGTGCTGCATCCTCCCCAGCCTGGTGTTCAGGATAGTAATTAATGCCCCTTCAACTACGGACAAAAGGGATAATTGAGCTGGGTGGGGACAGACTTCTTAAATGTATGACAAGGGGAAGTAGGGGTATCTGGGACCCCAAGAAATAGGTTAAAGAGCTACAGCTATTTCTACTGGAAGTACTCAGAAGGACACTAAAAACCAAAGCTCAGGAGTGACTGTCATGGAGACACAGGAGATACAGGACAGACTGGTGGTGGCCTCTCGACACAAGTGCATGGGAACATGAGCATAAGAAAAAGCAGCTGAGCCACTGTGTAAATCTCTAACAAATACAGAAACAAGGTTTCTCATGTCACTGATTTAATTCTGTCCCCATGAACACTAAAATAGTCCTCACCTAGGAAATGTTACTGAGCCATGTGACTTTTATTCTTTCATAGCTGAGCCTACTGCTCTTGCTGAGGCCAAGCTCCCTCTAGACATGTCTTTGTCTTTCCCTTCCTGCAACATCTTCCTGGTGTTTTCACTTCGAATTGTGTGGGAGTAGGAACAGACCACAGATATCATGAATATCTAATTGTAGACCCCGCTCTTCAGCTGGTCTGACACTGAGCAGTCAAAGTAATGCCATTTACCCTCAATTGGCTTTCCAGTTCATGGCTCCCCAGCAGGTTTTTCTTGAGAAGAGCCCATCATATTCATAGTCTGCTAAGATCAGCTGTGATACAACTAGTGCAGGAGTCTGATTTGATGCACAGAATCCATGTCACTGAATCTGCAAAAAGTTGTCTGAAAAAGTTCAATTTTAATGTGCTCACAAGAGACCAGGGAGAAGAACTTTAAAAAAGAAATATGAGCTGGGCTGGGTTCTACATCAGGTTGTTGGAATTTCTTCTCATGGTGAGTGGAGAACAGCTAAAAGGAGCTTTGCTACCCTGGCAGTCAACAAAATCCCTGTAATTAAATCGACGCAAAAGCAGAATTACTAAGAGAAACCTGTAAGTACTCATCAGAAATGATAACATAGAATGAATGTTCTGTAAGGAATTACATTTTGAAAAATTATAATCCAATAATTAAGATAATTAAAGAAGTTGTGAAATATCCAGAACAAAAGACCCAGAAGAATCGTTCTTGTGTGCTACACACTCCCTGAATGAAATTCCTGTTTGTAGGTAAAAAAATGTAAAGATAGAAAAATTCATCAGTTAGAAACAGAAGTAGGGTCTTGAAAAGCCAAAGTGAAATATTGTAGTGAAAAGAATACTTCAAAAAATCAGTTTAAAAAAAGTTGTACTTATATTTTCAAAACTCCATAGAACAAAAAAAAATCTGTAGTGTCAAATGTATTAGCATAATTTCATTTTCAGGTGCTTCTTCAGTATATGCTGACAGCAGACCCCGAGGGCTGTGAATGCAAGATCTAAAAATTCTCTCAGTGTAACACAGACTTTGGGGAAAAAAATTAAAACAGATGCAGAACAGTGATCTGGGAGCCCTATTTGGTTTGCCCCTAAAGTCCACTGGCACTACCCTGCAAGGAGGCTTTGCTATGGCAGCTGCTTTGTTACCTGTACTGATAGAATGCATTTGTGAGGGTCTCATAGGGGATGTTTTTTATTTCATGCTGGACTGTGCCTTGTTTACCTAAACCACACCTTGCTTTCCCAAGTCTCTGACAGGTGCAATGCCGACACGGGAGGCTTTGCCTTTGCTCCTTTCCAAGCCCGACACTTACATGCTACCTGCTAATTTCGGGGGACATTTAAGCAAAAGCTCCGGGGAGCCAATGCTGGGCAGCTGCTCTGGGCGGCCACCATACCCAAGGGCAGCTGGGGAGGACGAGGGGTCCGGAGAGACCCCAACCTGGATCAAGAGCCTGGCCCTTGAGAGGACCCCCAGCACCAGGAGACCTTGCAGCGACCCTGCCATCCCCACGGCTGATCCGCCATGTGCAGACCCTTCCACCCAGCACATCCTGCTGGTGGCAAAGGGCGGCCATGTCTCCTTCGGGCCTAATGCTGATCCTTTGGGGATTGAAAGCTGTGAGGAGAAATCCCCACTGGATTACAGTGGTGGCGGCTGCCTCCCTCCACCACCCTACCCTGTGCCTCAGGTAGGTCCCCGCCTCTTGGAACCTCCGAGGAGAAATGTAGGGGACAGGAGTGAGGGAGAGCACAGGATGGGTCTCAACTACTGCAACAATGACGTGTTTTTTCACCTGTACCCCTTACGGTGACTAGGTTTAAATGTCCTCTTTCCCCATTCTCTGGCAATGGGCCTCATTTTCCATCCCTGTCATTGATGTGAAAGTGCTACCATGTGAATTCCCTTTTTGACTCCTCTTGCAGGCTTGAGGAGAGGTTTTCATACCTGAAGACTTGTCTTCATTCTCTTTTTTTTTTTTAACCCATTATATTTTCCCTGACTATTTCATTGATCTAATAAAAGATAACAGCTCTGCTTACAGACTACCTTGCTGCCATTCTGGTGTGGTAGCATTTCAATCCCCCTTGATACTCAGTTTGTTCAAGCCTGTGGGACTAGAAGGTGCAGCTGGATGACCTCAAGGATCACAACTGTCATGTCCAACCCTCTATGTTCTTCCAGCTTCTTCAGGCAGAGAAGTGCCTCCGCTGCATTCTCCCGGCGCATGTACTGTACAGCATCATCACAGAATGGCTTGGGTTGGAGGGAACCTTCAGAAATGACCTGGTCCAACCCCTCTGCCATGGGCCGGGACATCCTTCACTAGATCAGATTGCTCAAAGCCCCATCCAGCCTGGTCTTGAACACTTCCAGGGAGGGACATCCACAACTTCTCCAGGCAACCTGTTTCGTTGTCTCAACACCCCAAAAAATATTTTTCCTCCTTAAGTCCAATTTCAACCTACACTCTTCCAGTCTAAAAGTACTGACCCTTGTCCTATCACTACAGGCCTTGGTAAAAAATCTTTCTCTGTTTTTCTTATAAGCCCCCTTCATATATTTAAATGCTGCAATAAGGTCTCTCCAAAACCTGTTCCTTTCCAGGCTGAATAACCCCAACTCTGTCAGCCTGTCTTCACAGGGGAGGTGCTCCAACCCACTGAACATCTTCATGGCCCTCCCCTGGAGCCACTCCAACAGGTCCATGTCTTTCTTATGCTGGGAGCCCCAAAGCTGGACACAGTACTCCAGGTGGGGTCTCATGACAGTGGAGTAGATGGGGAGCATCACCTCCCTTGACCTGCTGGTCACACTTCTTTTCAGTGCAGCTCAGGATGCAATTGGCTTTCTGGGATGCAAGTGCACACTGCTGGCTCCTGTCCAATTTTTCATCTACTAGTATCCGTAAGTCCTTCTGTGGAGGGCTGAACCCAGTTTCATACATGTATATATTCAGTGTGCCTTGTGGCTTTTTTCAGTCACTTTTTATTTCCTTCGTTGCAGACTGTAATGAATCCTTCAGCATCCTTTCCATACGTCACCCCCTTTTCTGACCACTACCATAAGCTATATTGCAGCAGGAGCTATCAGTTCCTTACATTTGTTTTTAAAAAAAAGGTAGGGTGCCAAATATGATTTTTTTTCCCCTGAACTTAGCGGCCAGCTCAGACACCTTCAGCAAATATTCCTTTATGTTTTCCCAAAATTCAGATGTGCATGACTTTCCTGCATCTCTATCCTCTACTGCTCTCTGGACTGGGTTTCAGGGATCGCTGGTCCTCACCCTGAAAAGGGAGACACTGACACATGTCCCAGCTGTCATGTCTGCAAGGAAGAGCTGAAGAGTGTCATGTCTGGAGCCACATTTCATGACCGGTTCCTCTAACCACTGCTCAGCTGGCCATCCTGACCATGCCCTGCCCATGGAGCAAGCCATACCCTGATTATCCCAGCCATTTCACCAATAAGCCTTCTATTGCTCTCCCATGAGGAAAGGCTGAGGGTTTTTAGTCTGGGGTTTTTAGTCTGGAGAAGAGAAGGCTGAGGGGAGATCATATTAATACTTATAAATATTTAAAGCGGGGTGGGTATCAGGAGTTTGGGGCCAGCCTTTTTTCAGTGGTGTCCAGTGACAAGGCAAGAGGTAACAAGCACAAACTTGAACATAGGAAGTTCCATCTAATCATGAGGAGGAACTTCTTTACTTTGAGTGTGGCAGAGCGCTGGCACAGGCTGCCCAGAGAGGTGGTGGAGTCTCCATTTCTGGAGACGTTCAAAACCTGCTTGGATGTCACCCTGTGCATCCTGCTCTGGCAGGGGAGTTGGACTAGATGATCTCCAGAGGTACCTTCCAGCCCCTAATATTCTGTGATTCTGTGATTCTGTGATTCTGTGATTCTGTGGTGAGTCTGGGAGGACAGTATTACAAAAGTGGCAATAAAAACTTCACAGTACCTCAGACCTTGGTGTATCTTTTGTCCATCAAATGTGTTCAGTCTTATCATTCCTTTTTTTTTTGCTTGTTTTCATCTTTTTAATTTCCACTTTTTAAAAAATACTTTAAAACCATTCCCATTGTGAAGAGTGGAGTTAAAAGACAACTATGAGACAAGAGCAAAATATATTTAAAGAGTATTTCAAAATGCTTATTGCAATTTGTGAAACAGGGGATGTGTAGTGACTTGTTTTTTGTGAAAAAAACTCTAAATGTAGATCACAAAATGACAGTCTGCTGTTGTATGTGAAGGTCAGTTCACCAAAATTTTATTTAGCCCCGTGAGTTCCTCCCACACTAATACCAAACTTTGTGTGGTTTATGATGATTCTTTGGATCAGAGAAGGAAATTCTGATTAAAGGTAATGACAACCTCCACCTCTAAGACACAAAAGGAGACATCAATAGGAGCTATAAGCATTTGTGCTTTGGGAAGTGAGCTGCAGGACGAGGGACAGACAGGTCCCCCAGGGCTGTGTGTCTCACAGCTGAGATTCCTCTGTGACTGCCAAACTGATTGCACCAGATTGCACAATTCAGGCTCAGCGAGGACAGGTTAGTCCTCTTCAAAAAGGAAGAAAGCAAGGCTTCATTATTTTTCTAAGGCTAAATGCAGAAAGGCTTTCCAGATTTACAAGCTGCCAGAGTCAGTGTGACTTTTCCATGTTCTTGCGATGACTTCTGTGCTGGCAGCAACACCCTCCAGTTTTGGTACAATCAGCACAGTGGGTCAATAGAGTGCCAAATTTATACCCATTTGGCTCAGAATATGAAGATCCCAATCCCAGCTGTGACCTTCACAAAATGGACTTTTTGCAATGTATTTGGGATACGCAGAAAGAAATGTGTATATGTTGCTGCTTTAAGCTGTTTTTAACCAGCTCTAAGGTATCGTGCCCAATTAGGTGGTGATAAGAATAGAAGGTGAAAGATGATGCTAGATGCATTATCCTCTGCAATTTTAAAAAAATATAGTGAACACTGAGGTTATTCAAGGTAGATTCATGAAGAAACACCAATTGATAGGGGAGGATCCACCCACAGGTAACCGTAACCTCCCTCTTTGTGGCCGAAAATGTTTTTCTGCAGGGCACAGCTACAGCAAAATATCGGGAAAGGAGCAGAAATGTAAAGCAGTCAGGATGTGGATGATTACACAGGCAACATGTTTTGTTCCAGCTTACTACGTATCTGCAGCTACTGCCAAAGCTTATGCAAATACCCCTACATTGCATGGATGGTCTACGCTTGCTGCTTTCCCAAGGTCTTAGCTCTGAAAGCATTGGCCTCAGTATTTAAAAGGTGATTCTGTGGGAGTAATCCCCATGCTTGCTCCAAAGCAAATGAGTTTTGTATATAAGGGCTTTTCTGAGGACATCAGAGAACCACAGGAATGTTGCTGAGAATGGTATGTTATCCAGACTGTATCTTACAGAAACACAGCTTTTATGGTTGGGGTTGTTTGGGCGTTTTTTGACTCATGCAGCATTTAAAGATGAAATCTAGCCATATAATCAGAAGGAGTTATCCTAATAATATGAGCTAGCAGCTGGACATATCCATTTTTTAGTGCATCTGTCCTTAGAATATCATTGTGAGAAAGAGAAATGCTTCTGTGGCAGTCATACCAATGAGATGATTAGACAGAACAAGGGCTTGAGCCACATCTCTCCAGCCCTAGGCATATACCCTGAATTTCTTCTGGCCTTCCTCTCCCCAGGGCCTCTACCTTTGCACATGAAAAGAATCACAGGTGTTTCCATCGCCAACCCGTTCTACAAAGCCCCTGCCGTTTGGCAGACTGAGGCTATAAACTTTTATATAAACTGAGAAGTTACGGACTATTTTCTAACACACAGTCCTCAATCCATTCTCTATATTTTAAACAAAATAAGTGTGTCAAAGTGATGGTGGTAGAAAGGACTCCAGCTGAGGAAGCTTCAGGGAATACACTCCAAGTAATTGTATAAAACTTTTCTCTCCTTATAGCCTTTGGGAGGTTTATTAATCTGTGTGTCTGGTAGTCCGGGAAATCTTGCTCTGCTTCCGCTGAGTGTAGTCACTTGGTGCTTCTTAAGTAGTTATGGTCAAGGAGTTAGAATGGGACCATCTATTGTATCTTACTCGATTGCAAGCAAAATGTAGAAGTGGCCCTTGTG